CAAACCTGCCCGACCTTTCTTGTGCGTGGAACTGCGGCAAAATTTGATTTGCATGTGAGCAGCGCAAGGTTCGGTACATAAACTGTTGAAGTATACTTGTAATGTATATATGTTTATCTGCGTATTTTCCTATGCATTATAAGCAGTAAAACTATATTGATGATAACGCGAAAGTTGTCATAAAAATTCAGTTCACAACCTAGGCTAGGGCGTCTATTTTCAACACAATTTTAGAAAATTATTTAATGTTTATGTCGCAAGATCATAACGTTTTAAAAATATATATTTTTTGCAAGGAAAAACCTAATGAAAACAAATATTAGCCGATTCACTTTTTTTTTCATTGTAAAAACGTTTACAAAACATGAAAAAAGGTGGGTCAAGAGATGGACGATTTTCGATGTTTCTGCACTTTCAGAGCCGCCATTTGCTTTCCGTAGATGTGGTGTTTGCTGTTATAAATCTGGCCCATGCAAGTGAAAATAATGCACATAAATATTAATAAATTATGTATTATTAATTTATAGCCCAATTAGTTTGAAACATTTGAAGGAATAGGCGGCACAAGCTCTGCTAGAGGCATCTTTATTTCCTTTCACTGATGTCCGCCAGCAGAGGTTTCGAATCTCGTTCTGGCAGGATTCGCATTTGTTTTTAGTTCGTGCCTAGCTGCTAATTTGTGGCTTGTTTATATTTTCTTCTTGGACATGAATTGCTAAGACTTGGCATTTAGTCTGTAAACAGGGGTTAACAAGATTTGTTTTTGAGCTCTGATATTGGTCAGTAAACATCGCTCTCTTAGCCGCAGACTTACGTTTGGATGTAACTCCCTGTAGTCCGGTGAAAGCCGACCGACGTTTCGAAGAAACATATTGCCTTCATGTTCAGGGTTGAAGAGCCAGCCAAGCAAGAAACCAACGTGAAGTTTACTTACTGCCTTCCTCATGCCAGTTTCTTTCTTTTCGCTTACTCTTCGACCCTGAAGATGAAGGCGGCGTATTCCTCCGAAACGATAGTTGAATTTTACCGGATTACATGTCGTTTTCTTCATGCCAGTTTCTTGCTTTTCGCTTATTCTTCGACCCTGAAGATGAAGGCGGCATATTCCTCCGAAACGTTAGTTGAATTTTACCGGATTACACATCGTTATATCCCAGAATGCAGAACTCTTCATAGCTACCGTTGTGAGGACCTCAAATTCAACTTATGTATAGTAATTTTCTTGGGTTTCTTGTAGAACAGTCCTGTCACATTTAGCGTCACAAAGCAGAAGTGACCTACAGATGAACTAGAGCAGGTGAGGAAGCCATGAAAATTCGTTTTGATCCTTTAATCCCCTAACAGGATTCGAATCTTTTATTTCACTGTTCCACATTTGTCTCGGCGCTATTGTGAAACATTTGTGGAACAGAGTCTTTGGTGAATAGCTAATGGCCGTTAAATTCATAAAGAAATTCTTCACCTTGAATGGAACATGCAGGTGCATTATCATGTTCTCAGGACCCCCCCATTGGAAGCTGTCCTGAGCCAGAAGGGTCCAGGCCACGTCCTCACCTCCTGCTTCTTTAAGATCCATTTGGTGTTACCCTCTGTGTACCCGTGGCTCATCCAAGTGGTGTCTTGCCTTCAGACTGAAGTTCTGGTCTCACTTCTCATCTTTCCCATGTCCATTGTGGACCAGTGGAGGGCTTTTGTGAACACGGTAATGAACCTTCGGGTTCCATAAAATGCTGGGAAATTCTTGAGTAGCTGCACACCCGTCGGCCTTTCGAGAAGGGCTCAGCTGCGAGGAGTTAGCAATCTGTTCTCAGGCACCACCAAATCTGTGTTACCTTAGAGTGAGATACCGCGTTTCAAACCCACACAAGAAAACAGGAATATCAGTGGTTCTGTGTGTTTTATTTACTACTGAAGTACTTTTAGTTAATATGACTTTTTGTTTCTCAGGTAATATCGTCAGTAGAAAAGTGCTCTTTATTTCATGCCTGAAATCTCGGAATTGCGAGGTTGACGCCCCTATCCCAGCCTTACAGGTGTCTGGTTCGAATACTGGCGAATAGTGCCCGTCTCTAATGACGAAGAGTACAGTGTTCTGGGCTGTAACACCGCGCAGCTCGGTGAAGTCCGCCGACGTTTCAGAGGAACATATCAGGGTCGAAGAGAAAGCCAAGTAAGGAGCCAATAATAAGCAGGCGTGAAGCCTTCTTGCTTGGCTTACGCATCGCTTCTGTAGACGAAGGCGATATGTTCGTCCGAATCAGGAGTGGACTTCTGCAGATCTACGCGCTGTTACAATGTAGATTGTAGAAGATCGTGGTCTTCATAAGCATCGCTATGGGAACCCCAAATCCAACATCTTTAGTGACGTTTTTAACGGTTTCTTTCAGCCTTTCCTGGCCATTTCGAGTGTAGTCCATTAGCTGAACGCCACTAGTTCCTCCCCCAATCTTCTTATTTACCATTTATAACATTCTGACATCTAATTCGAAGCCGAATAACTTGTGCAGTTTAAAGGACATCCTTGCATAACAGACGAATTTTCCAGTTCTTTTATAAACGCAGAGTCGTGGAGCTGGTAATGTTTGTGTCGTTGCGGAGTAGACGAAGTACTCGTTCTCGGTGCGGGGTGTGGTTCCTCTCCTTGTTACGTATGAATGACGCTAAAATTGGGTAAAAAAGGTAAAGCTATCCCTATATATATAGGAATTATGCATACCGTCAACACAACAAATACTCAGTCTTTAATTTCGAACTTTATTCCTGCTACATGTTTCGGTCGTATAAGATCATCATCCGGCAGTTATACAGGGTGTTTCACGACTTTAGGGCATAACTGCAGGAGGTGACTTCCTAGGTCTTTGTGATCAAAAAAGTTCAAATAAACATGTGTCCGATTTTGGACGGTTACGGAGTTATGACCGTTTTAAACTCAGAATAGAAAGTAACGATTATTGACAAACGGAACAAAATAATAAACCAGAATAATACATGATACATTTAAAGTATGAATGTAAAGTTAACTTCGTGAAATTTCCTTTTATTTGAATTTATTGGTGCTTAAAGCTGATTTTCGAAAATGCCACCGCCGGCCGCAACACAGGCTGCCGCTCGGTTGTGAACCGCGCCGGACATACAAACCCACCACGCCTTAGGTAGCTCTCAAGTGTTGAGATAACGAGAACGCTCTGTCTGTAGCTGGCTAAAAATAGCGACCCGACAGCTGACACGCGGTTCACATGAGGGCGTGTACGGGAATGAAAAAACGGCCATAACTCCGTAATCGTCCAAAATCGGACACATGTTTATATGAACTTTTTTGATCACAAAGATCTAGGAAATCACCTCCTGCAGTTATGCCCTAAAGTCGTGAAACACCCTGTATATAGAAATACGTACAGTCATTGAACTACCGATATGGATCCTATCGGTGCAACGCGTCGTATTATATATCAACATAAAACCTTTGCCTCTAGTTGGTGTTTTAATTAAAGTAGCAAATACATAAATAAAATAAAAGATAAATATAAAGGTACCATATATCAAGATTTATAATGTGTTGAATATATTATTAAAAATATTTTACTCCACAGATGGCGGTAACGGTAGGCACTACATGTCTTCATCAGTTATCCATTTTTTTCTATGTATTGGTACTCATGCGTCTGGTTTTGTTGGCTAGGAATGTAGCATAAATTTCTCTCTCCATTTCTATCGTAGTTCCACGAAGGTACACGCTTTATCACAATTTTTATTGCATATTTTGCTGTTATCTCCGTTCGAATGAGCCTGTCTCAGGTAGTTAAATAGCCGTTATGAAAGTGACATGGGTTGTTCAGTGACAGGTTAGCTCTTTCTAAGTGACCCAGTGGAGTAGACGTCCGCCCATCTCATCTGAGGACGGAAAGAGATTCAGTTTTCGCTTTCATGTAGAGCGTTCTCCAAAACGTCGGTAATGATGTACACAGCTTCACATCCCTGAAGATAGAAATCTTTATAGTCACCGCCGGACGTATAAAATGTCACGTTCTTTAATTAATTTGTAATATTTGTGCTTACGTTCTAAGCTGCAAATCGAAATCATCTCACCTTTCACAGCTCATACGGAAGAGATGCATTTCTACGTTTTGAGTGAGAGTTCTGCCGCTTTTGTGCAAGGAAATTTACGTGCATGAGTACATTTTGATTGTTATAAGCCAGTCGGTCCTGTCGCTTCTGAAGGAAGTGGCCCCGTAGACAGACATTGCTGTACAACAGAACTGGATGAACAGTCTGCACAGAGTGACTGACGAAATAATACCGAAACAGATTCAGTAGTGTAAGCCAAAAGACTGCGTGACTGAGGAAGAATTTGAAAAGATGGACTGGATATGTGAAATCGGAACTGGCAAGATTCCTTATACCACGAAGTGGTGGGGGGGAAGGACGATTATGCCCCGGATAGACCTTAAAGCAAATTACCGGTTGATGGAAAAGCTAATAGAATGTTCCAGATGTGTGTCACTGTTCTTCTAATAGCTGTTTAAAGTGAAACTCATGCTCATATTCACCAACCAGAAAATTGTGACTTCAGTGAAAGAAACAGCATAACTGTTTTAGCTGATCTGTTATTTATGCTTTGGACACTGTTTGGTCCATGATAGCATTAACTGTGATGTTGAAAACTGCATCGCTCACCGTTTCTGTGTAGTTGTGGGGGTGCAGCTCGACTGCTGATATTGAAGCAGAGTGAAACTGGGTCACTTTATACTCTAGTCTTAGGTCGCTCTTATTCAGAAGTGGCTAAACTGAGTGCATGTTGCATGTGCCGTTCTATTAACTATAGCCACTTGTCGACCGACTGCCGGAGGCTGCTTGCTGAAACCGGCCAGGATATTCTTTACGCTTTGGGATGAGTTAACGACAGGACGAGCATGTTTTGTGGCGAATTTGTAATCTGTCAGGCACTCGCTTTCGACTTTCTGTTCATTTGACAAATCTGTCCTGACCAGTGTTGTCGACATAGGAGTAAGCGTGAACCACGGACGGACGGATGGTGAATTATTGGCTTTATTGCTTGTTTATCTTCCGTCAGTACATTAATGAACAATGAGACAAATTAAAATTAACAGCCATACCAAGAATTACACTCCGTAAGGGATGCAGACAGCTTCCGAGAAACAGCTGAATGAAGCGATTCTGCGCAGGGTGTTCCTGTGCAACCACTCTCCTCTGGAGGTATCCATGTAGCCTTTCTATAAGCAGTAGTGCATCTGTGTATTGTAGCCTCATGCAGAATGTGCGGTGGTGGTGATGCTCGTCCCACACATACAGGTCCTGGCCAGTAGCAATAGGTACCATATTAGCTCGAATGTAAGGCGAATTCTTTTCCGAATACTTTTCAGTAGCAAACATGGGTCGCTATATTTTTGTGCTCTTAAGGATAAACGTGAAGGTGATGATTATTAGGAGTTATACCTACCATTATATTATTGCATGTATACCCGTTACTAGGCAACGACCGCCAGTAAGCAGCTATACAGCAGCCGTTGCTATGTAATGACTCTGCAAATAACGGCCGGTTCTAGGAAATAGCTGCAGCAGATTCGTAACACGCAACAGTGGAGTAACTGGGAATGGTGTTCTCTACGCGGTCCGTGCGCTAACTACGTGATGCAACAATAGAAGAACTGTTGGGAAAGAGTTCCATTGGGGAGGCGGGGTCGAGTACCTCCACCGTAGCCCTGCGAGTCGTACGAGGCGACGAAAACGGAACCCAGTGCCGGTGGTTTTATAACCGGGCCACTCTGATCCTGGGGGATATAAATGCGGGGACCTGGACCTCAAGGGGGAGGTCTCGAATCGCAGACAGTAAAATATGGTCATGAGTCTCGCGGGACTCGAACCTGAGAGTGAGTGCGCGGGCGAGGCCCAGCAGCAGTTGAAACCACAGACCCATCCTGTCGTCAGAGAGGATGTTACGTAAGGATTATAACCGCAAATGTTCAATTCTCAAGGGGCTTGTCGCGAAGACGAACTGATTGGCGTAAAGTAACTGACTCTAACTTTGCTGCGAGAGGTGTTTACTGCCCAGTCCGTGCCGAGGCTATATAGCGAGGAGCAATTGCGATTACCAGAGAATCTCGAGATGGCGGTGAGAAGAGTAGGAGGTTGGTGTGAGATGGGCGCCAGCCTAGGAGTTAGTCAGCTGGAGCAATGAGTGAGTTGTGAGACGGCCGCCGGCCAGCAAGGACGTGAAACGGAAGCTGACGAAGCTACGACTTTGGAAGCCGTTACCAGGCGATAACAGGTGAAGATACAGCAGACTGAAAAGAGTGAATTAGCAATAGCGCTACAGTTACTTTTAGTTCATAGTTATGTGCATAAGTGTTCAGTAAAACCAATTACCGGTCCACCCCCCTATATATTCACTCCATACACGTGGCAGTATTTATCATTTCGCAGTAGCGTAATTTTTACTGTTTACAGCCCCCAGTACTAGACATTCGGTTTCATATTTTTTTTTGTGATTTTCTTACTGTAAAAAGGTAAGTGGTTGCCGCCTTGTATTCGGGCTCGTATGGTTGGCGAGTAGCAGAACCCTACAGTTATGCGTTAGTGACTACAGACGGGATTTGGATCGTTAATTGGTCTTATTGGACTCGTAACTCGTAACTACAGGTAACTATAACAAATTCACTGATCCTGATATTTTTTATTTCTTTTTGGAACGTGATATTTATCCGAGAGCGCATTTTCTACCTTAAAGATAATTAAATCGTGTGGTAGGTCGGGGCTGATAGATATTGAGAATCAACTACGTGTGTTTATCGATTATTCGACCGCGAATTGAGAAACTGTGTGTGGTTCATCAGCACTGATCTGCTGCTGGCTTTGTAAGAGTTAAATAATTGTAGACTGTGACATGACGCCTGAAAGCCAGAATAGATGTTCATTGCTAGGCAACGACTCGGTATAGAGGTTCCCACGGCAGCGAATAAGAAGTAACAACCAAGGTGTTGTAGATTCTAAAGGTTTCTTACGATGGTGGATGACACACAGAATTACTGGGTTTTTGGACTTTTTCTATCGTCCGGAATTCTAGGCAATAGAAGACACGACGTTTCGGTAACTGGATCTGTTTCCGTCTTCAGGTGAGGAAGGAAGACACCTACTCAGTTGGGCCCCTTAGAAAGAGCTAATCTCAATCACTGATCCAAAAATCCAGTAATTCTGTGAACCTAGGTGTTGTTGAGATACAACAATGGAAACTGTGTTTTCTGTTGGATCCGCTCCGAAGCTATATAACGAGGATCCCAGGCCAGCTGGGAGAATTGAGGAATTTGTAATATAGAAATCGGTAATAGTGTTATAATTACTTGCAGTTACGAGTTGAGCGCATAAGTGCAGTAAATCCAATCATCCAATCGGACCCACGTCGATAGTCACGGAACCCCTAAAATCGTGACAGTACATTTGTTTAGCGTGGGCCACTCATGAAAGTTTTCCCGCGGTTTATATCACTTTCTGGATCTTGTCATTTTTGACACGCGCTCTTCTCTTCTGCTTTCGGATGTAGACATATTTAAGACCCCCTGAAATATCCGTGGTGTTCCTCAACGAACCAAACCAAGCTTATGTTGCAACCATAATTAAGTATAAATTAATGACTACGCATTTTAGAGGCACGTAAGTGTTAATTGCCAGTGATGGTTATTTGTTGGTTTTCTTCTTTCGGTGCTGCACCATTGATTCAGGAAGTAAATTTAACCAGTGTTATCACTGTAAACGATAAACTCATATATCTGTTAGGGGAAACCTTATCTTGTGAGCCCCCACCTACTAGTTGGGGGGGGAGAGGTTGGTCTTATGTATTGTATTCGTATTATTTCCAAGACCACCAAATAAAACACAACTGACGTAAACAGTCAATTCAGTAAACATTTAATAACAGATTAAATAAATACTACCAAAAGAAAACATTACAATAATTAGGCATCCCCGGGCACGTGATCTCTCCACACAACTCGGAGACCACGCCCTTCTCTGCCACAGGCGGCGTGTAAGACATATTACGTGAAACAGACGCTACAATATTCCATCTCCAACAAAAACAATCCAAAAGAAGCTTACAGAGTCTGCTAAGACTCAACAATCATGGATATTACCTGAGATGGGCCCTCCTGCCTGGAGTCTACTGCCAAATCGAATTTTTCCAGGCGCCGGCCTAAACAAATTTCTCACGGAGCGACACGTCCGTTTGCTACGACGTTCCAGGCAGAAGAGACTTGGTGCCTCCGCCGAATGAGGAAAGGCAGGGGGTGGTGACGTAAGATGCGCCACGGAATACGGAGAAGTGGTAAGGGATGTAGGAAAACAAATGGTAGGAGCCTAGGCCACCGTCGCTCAGAGAGGGCACCACATCCAATGAGCCGAAGAGATCGGCTCACTTGGAAGCAATAAACACGCTAAATTTACCCTTATCAGGTAATGGAACGTAGAAATGTTATTCCCGAAACCGACTACGAACTGCAAAATTGAGCATCATAATGAAAGATAATCCCTTTACATTACGTTTAGTAATGAGTGAGTGAATGAATGCATGTGACGAAAAGTCCTAAAGGCCAGTGCAGTAAGTAAAATGTGCTACTGCTCTAAGTCGGCGTCTGATTTAATGTCCAAGATATTCGCCAACAAGCTACACCTGACGCGCCTAGAATTTACTGCACTGCATTCGGCGTGAACCCAAGTAGAACAGATAACGCAACGGTGTAACTCCCTGTTGCGGCAGAATTCCCCACAGAAGAGACGGAAGTCATTTGTGTTTGTTCTGTGAGGAAATGTGTTATCTTCAGAATTCACTTATCTGGGCACAAATGGGGCTCGTCAGCAGCATCGTGTGAGGAGGAGAAAAAGAAGAAGAAGAAGAAAGAGACGTTTCTTTGATTTTCTTCTCCGTTCTGCTTTTGTTCTGTTATCTCTTTTTACCACTCATTAACATTTCCCCCCTGTCTTCCTTCATCACAACCATCCTTGTCAGCGTTAAGGTTTCGGGGTGTTCTTTTGGCCGTGATGTTTCTTGAATTTTGCCAGCCGGAAGTAGACGGAAGTGGTGACATTCAGTAATACTGACGCCTTCTGCGCTGCCGCCAATATCTGCTCAGCTGTGGCCACCTCCATCCTTCCCATGTCTCGGATCTACGAGTACGCTTCCTCTGGTGGAGCTAGCCCCATTCCTTTCATGACTAGGGCCATTATCTCCCCTGCTGCGGCCAGCCTTTTCCTGGCCCTTGGTCATAATTTAATTCCATCACTCGTCCCGGCTTCTCATTTAATTATGTGTGGAGCAACCGTAGGAGCGAAGGGAAGTGAGACGCATTTGTACGCCGTTGAGGCCAGTAACGTATGTGTACGGCAGTTGAAAACGTGGCGATCTGAGAAGGAATTATTACTCAAAAGACCACACTGCAGCTACGCGTTATTTTTAATGACACTTAACACCATTTGACTTAGCGAAGATTTTATTTCAGGTCGTCTTTATAACATGAATTCCAAAAACTGAAAACGTGACAGTTCATCAGACAATTAGTACTAACATTTGGAGCCCTCCTCTATATTTAAGTCAGAATTATAATTGTTTCCGATCCCTCTGGAGTTCAGAATTCACGTGCTCACTAATACCCCGCTCTCCCCTAAGTGGTTTCACGCGGTTCGTGTTTTGGATTGAAATGTACACTTAGCGACGAAACAGCCGTGGATATAGACCGCTTCTGTACAGCATACCTTGTTTGGTCTCAGCAACAACCAGGCAAACGGGCTGAAAGACTTGTTTGTGTGCTACAGAAGACTATAAATAGGTCTTGCATCTTAGAAGGAATTGGAGATCACATTCGTTTCACAGTGCGTATCTTGCTGCTTCATTTCGTTATCAGTAATTTGCTGTGAAACTGCCCTGTTATTTAGTTTACAAACTGGTATGGTCCTGTTTACTTTCCAAAATACTGGAGATTAGAAGAAGGGGTACCAAACTCCTTTAATTCCGTACTGCTGAACGAGATATACATTTTACCATGAAGCATTTATTTGAAGTTTGATTAGATGAGTCGGGTATATAGCGCGAATGGGAGATAATGTGAGCTGAGTCCTTAAAAGCCGCCATTCGCTCAGCTGCTCAAGGTTTTCCCTCTGCTGTCAACGTCATGCAAAATTTTATCCAATATTGAGGCTCAGTGTGAGTTTCGTCGCAAGAGATCAGCTGCAGTCATATTTTTTGCATTTGTCGGATACTGGAGAAAAAAATGAGAGTACAGTGAGACAGTACAGTACATCAGCTCTGCATGCACTTTAAGAAAGCCTGTGATTCAGTTAGGATGGAAGTATTGTGCAGTATTTTCATAGAGTTTGGGGTATTCATGGAACTATTTAGGCTGCTTGAAATGTTTTAAAATGAAACATATAGGAAAGTTCATATAGTTAAACATTTGTCTGATACGTTTCCTATTCAAAATGGTCGAAAATAAGGAGATGCTTTATCGCCATTGCTTTTAAACTTTGCTTTAGTATATGCTCTCAGGAAGGTGCAGGGAAACCAGGTGTGACTGAAATTAAATGGGACACAGCTGCTTGTGGTCTATGCGGATGACGTGAATCTTTTTGGAAATAACATAAATACCACAAAGAAAACATAGGATCTCTAATTGACGTTAGTAAAGAGGTTGGCCTAGAAGTAAACGCAGAGAAAGCTAAGTATATGTTGCTGTCTCGGAACCAAAATGCAGGGCAAAACCATGACATAAAGATACGTAATAGAGATCATTTGAAAACGTGGCGAAGTTCGAATATGTGTGAACGACAGTAAGAAATAAAAAGTTCATCTAGGAGGAAATTAAGGGCAGATTTAAGTCGGGTAATGCTTGATACCATTCAGTTTAGAACGTCTCGTCTTCTTGTCTGCTGCAAAAACATAAGAATTGAAATATACAAAATTATAATTTTGCCTATAGTTTTGTATGGGTGTGAAACTTTGTCTCTGACATTAAGCGAAGAACATAGACTGTGGGAGTTTGAGAACAGGACGCTGAGGAGAATATTTGGACCGAAGAGAGGTGAAGTGACAGGAGGAAGGACCGAGAAGCAGTGACTCACATATCTGGCACCAGCTGTAGGTGTATAGTCGCTGTAGCTGTGCCGTATACATTTCGAGGGTTTCGGTAGAAAACGAGGATTTTATTAAGCAAGCTTTGGACTGGAAGCTGCATTGGTACAATACAACTGAAGACGTTTGTGTGTTTTCCAGTAGTGTCTGTTGAAAAGTAAACTTTCAGTGCTGTATTTTGGTGCATACATCGTTGGAGAGAGGACAGCGTACTTTCCGAGTGTCGTGGGGGGGGGGAGGTGCTCGCGACCTTGCCTCCGGCGTGAAGGTTAGTGAACACGTGATAGGTACCTACTTTATTAATAACTCCGTACAGGGGAAAGTTTCTGTAACACCTGCAACGTACTCTAATACGACGATAGTGGAACAGATCATGGAGTCTCACAACTTTTCTTATACGATGCATTCGCTTAGACTGTTTTACAGCTTACTGCAATGTTCCTTTTAGTCTGAGATTCCAATCATTTTTTTTGTTCTTTATTTAATGACCTGCCAGTATCGATTTTTTTTATTGCTAGTGGGGTGGGACTAGGTTCCTTGTACTGCGACCACTTCTGGCCTATTGTACCAGCCCCAGATGATAGGTGAGGGTGATTGTGGAGCAATTGGTGGAATGAAGATTGGCAGGGGAAACCGAAGTACTCGGAGAAAACCTGCCCCAGCGCCACTTTGTCCACCACAAATCCCACTTGACCAGACCCGGGCCGCCGCGGTGGGAAGCCAGCGACTAACCGCTTGAGCTATGGCGCGGCCTGCCAGTATCGATACTCGAATCAAATGCATTATTGATTTTAAATAACTGTAAAGGCAAGGATGATTACATAGGAATTAAAATGTTTAAACATAATGGTTAAGCACAGTTATTTGAGAAGAAATTAGGACTTTATGTTACGTGAAATTTTTCCTTAGTGAGCTACAAATGTACTTATTAGCTAGTGCATGTTTGTCGTCATCAGGTGACGCACGGAAGTGCACAGCCTGAACTTTTACGTTAAAAATGAAAAGTAATTAATAGCAAAAATAAGCACCGAAACGCTTGTACCTTGTACAGTGGTGCAATGGGCTTACGACTTGACGCTTTCCAGGAAACGGCTCATAAGTCGAAGAATCGAAGTTTAGTTCATAATAACATGGGATATGCAGGGTCATGTAGCTCTGCACAAAGAGAAAAGCCTCATAAGCAGCAGGAAAATCGTTTGATGCTTCATCATACACTTCCACCCTGAAGATACGGGCACTACATTCCTCCTTAACAGCAGTAATTTTCTTCCGGATTGTACGTCGTCACATATTAAAAGACAGAACTCTTTATAGGCCTGCTATAGCGAAATGTTTACGTACGCATTTCCACTATTTTCCCTTTCTTTGCCTGGCTACTGTACGGTTGGGATACGGTAAAATAGTTGAAAAGAAACTCAGTTTATTTGCATTAATTTAATCAAGATTGTTAAAGTATACAGTTTACTGTTACACTTAGCGGGTTCCGCAGAATGAATTACAAATGACGTGCTAACATCCATGCTCTACAAATTACTTGCAAGAAAAGAAAACGTTACTAACGTGGGAAAGGAACTGATATCCTCAAATTTTAGGTAAACTTGATATTTGTAACTAGGATGAACTCTTTCGCTATAATTAACAAGCATTAAATGCACGTACAGCTGTTTGCTGTTAGTTGAGTGTGCCAGAAGTCCTCAGTTTGTGCTCGTAGTGATTGAAAAAGATCTCACTGTTACACACTGCAGAGAAAATAAACACATGGAGGCGTTATAACTATGGGTCATAGTCGTAATGTACACGTAGTAGAAAACGACGTCCAAAGAATTAAATCGGATCTCGCCGCATTCTCTTAAACTTAATGAATTTCTTTGTTTTGATTTTTCTTAGTTGCGATCTTTCGCGGAAATAATAGAATCAATTGTTTTCGGGAGCAAACCTCTTTGACAGCACAATTAGTTGCATTTCATATCCAGATGGGAGACGATTTAATTGGTTTAAAGAGTAATAGACTTCCTTGATCTTAGCTTGTTTTC